TTTTTTATTTGTTATTTCAAATATAAAATACAAAATAGATTTCCCTTTTGTATTTTAAATATCTATTAAGTGTAAAATACGTATTTTCAAAATACTTTTTTCAAATGAATGCTTTTTTGTAGTAACTATTTATGTTCTACATTTACTTTAGTATAAAATATTTTTTAAGAAAGCCTTTCTTTTCTCCTTTTCTCATTTTTTAAATATTGGAGTTTTTCTGGATGAATAGTGGTGTTTGCACTATATCTACGAAGATTAAGTATGATTCATTTTTTTCTGTTTATTGGGATATAGTTTTTCTATCTTTATAAAATTGTTTCTTCAGTTCAGCGACAAATAATTCTTCTATATGCTTTACCGTGAAAGATCAATGCCAAAATAGAGTTGCAAGTAATTTTAATGATGTAAAATCAACATCAATCATTTTATATCAAAACATTTACAACCACATTTTGTTTCCGACCTTTTACACATTGTAATAAGAGAAAGAAATGGAATCCAAAGTTTCTTTAGCTTTAGGTTCATCTAATAAGTGAAATTTTCCGAATCGTTTCCTAAGAATTTTTGGATTATAGACATTTATTAGTACACCACAATATCTTGTAGTTTTCAGTTTTACACAGCTGGCGTATATCAATTCGATATTGTCTTGAGGGCTGTTTTGTCGTGCAATTCATGCAATTATGTAGTTCCTTGCTAATGGTACTATAAGGTGATTTGGCAGGTGCTGATATCAATTTGGAACTTCAAAATTCCATGTTCCAATTCCGGAAAACAATATCGATCTAATATTTTAGATGATCCATTTCCAAGGAATTTACAATTTTTTGGGATCTCTTCAGTTAAAGAATTAGAATAGGGCACTCATAGAATGTCTCTTTGTCTCCTTTTTAAGCTTCTAATACTTTCAATAGCCAATGTAAGCAACTTTCATTCATCATTTTATATAATGCTTGATCAGTGATACTAGCAAAATAAAAAAAATAATACGTTTGGAAAAGTATTTTAAATAAAACACAAAATGCTATTCTCAAAAGAGTATCTAAATGCAAGTANATTTTAAAATAAAAATATTGGATCAAAAACTTGGGACTCAAATTGTCTACCTTGATCCGTCATGCGGCAAAACGACAGATCCATCCTTCGTAGAATGTTCATGCTACTTTATGGCTTCTTTATCTCTCATGGGAAAAGCTTTAGGCCAACGTATTGTAATGTTCGTGGGTTTAACAAATTCAATTTTAAGAAGAAAACTATTTGTTTACGCTAATTACTATTAAACTTAAAAACACTATTAAATTATTACTAAACTTCGGTAATTATTCTTTTTATTTACACTGCTGTTACTATTCACTGTTCTATTTATTTCACTTCTATCACTGTCAATTTATCTCTTGATTCACCTCTGCAACGGTCAATTTATTTCTACTCTTTCACTTCTACAACGGTCAATTTATTTCTACTCTACTTCGGCGATCGTCTCTTCCTTTTTATACTCCCTTGCCTCCTTTCGGGAACGTTCTCCAGCCGTCCAGAGAAGTCTCGTTTTCTTTGAACGGTTTAATTGCTTTCCCGGAACAAAGGTACGACACACACGTTTACAGATACGGCGTACATGAAGAAAAGCGCCCGCGGCTAGTCGGCGAATCGATAAGACGCTCAAACACACGTATGCCCGATCGCACACAATCACGCTCGTGGTCGCTACAGTATGAATCTGTCTGCACACATAGGGAAATATCGCTATCTTTCCGAGGGTAGCACCACAACTATGCCAATGTGGACGTGATCGAATTTTTCTCATGGCAATTCGAATTTGCTCAAGGGTGGAGAAACGTGGAGAGTAATTTTTACTTTTTGGCAAGAGAGACACTCACGTGTCTATTTGACACAATCTTTGTTAGCATATGGCCGAATGAATCGTTGCGTCATAAGCTTTATGGGTGCACGAATGCGAGGATGTATTGGGGAATGTAACTGTTTGAATGCAGCGACACGAAATGTTGGAATCAAAACAGGTCATGCCATAGTAGAAAAGTCGCAGAAAATGGCTTTGTTTGAGCCAGGAATGTGAATCCGTTTATGTTGTAAGGGTATGCTTGAGTTAAGGTATTCCTAAAGTTCCCTATCGGATTCCTCCTCAGAAGAAACGGCTTGATAGCTCAGAAATTCGTGAAAGTGTGTCGGCAATAATATTATCTTTCCCAGAAATATGCTCAATGTTCGTTGAGAACAGGCTAAGGAAGTTGAGATGCCGTAACTGTTTGGGGGTGCATTTGTCAGGGTTCTGGCGGAAAGCAAAAGTAAGGGGCTTGTGATTCGAAAAAATAGTGAAGATACGGGTTTCGAGAAAATAACGAAAATGCTTGATTGCGCGATAAATTGCGATAAGTTCTCGGTCGAATGCGCTATATTTAGCTTCAGCTTTAGAGAGTTTGGAGGGAAAAAATGCTAGAAGCTCCCAAGTTCCATTGTGGAATTGTTATAACGCAGTAATGGTCGGAAGCGTCACAAAAAATTACTAAAGTAGCATCTGGTTGCGGATGGTGCCGAAGAGTAGTCTGCGTCAGTTGCTTCTTACTTAAATTGAATGCGTCGTCGGCTGTGGGGTTCCACTGAAGTGGTGCATTTCCTTTTATTTTCCCCAGTAGAAGTTCAGTCAAAGCAGAACGAGTACGGACAGCGTTGGGCAGGAACTTTCTGTACAAGTTGAGCATACCCAGGAATTGTCGCAATTGTTTTGCGGTACTTGGTTTGGAGAAGTTGATGATTGCTGTCATTCTGTCGGCTAAAGGGCGTATTCTATTTGCCAAGACAGAGTAACCTAGAAAAGAAACTTTTTTTTACCTAATTTGCATTTTGCTTGATTAAGTAATATTCCATAGGAATGTAGGCGAGCAAATAAAGTTCAGCACTTTCCGATGCGAGCAGTATGTAAGCGAAACAGAAGTCCATAAATCGTTGGAATGTTTGGCTGGAGTTGCATAATGCAAACTCGAACAAACCAAACGGTGTTGTAATTGCTGTTTTCGGAATATGTACTCCTGCAACAGGGACCTGGTTATAGGCTCGAACTAGATCGATCGTAGATAAAATTGTTTTGTTTGCCTATGCAGGGGTGAAATCATCAATGTTGCGTACCGGATATCTTCTCCGGAATTGTTCTCGCGTTGAGAGCTCGGTAATCTCCACATGGACGCCATTCAGAGTCTTTCTTTGGAACCATGTGTAGTAACGATGCCCAGGGGCTGGAGGAGGGACTTACGATACCTAGCTGTACCAGTATTTCAAATTCTTTCTTGGCTGCAGTGAAACGGTCCGGATCAAAATATCGTGGTTTAGATGCTACCGCGGACCGGGGGTAGTATTGATGGAGTGTCTTGTTGAATGTTTGTAAAAGGTAATCTGGCTTGATGCTAAAGTACGTCGTGGTATACGGAAGTGTTCGGTTTCGTATCTGTGACGAAAGACGACAGGGTTGATTACAGTTGGTTACTTGTGGTGAGGTGAGTGAGACGATCCAGGAATCGTTGATTGCTTAAATCTACCAGCAATTGGTAGTGTGCAAGGAAATCAGCACCTATGATTGGTTTCGTGACGTTGGCTATAATGAAACGCCATAGTGACGTGACCCAGGTAGTAGTGACTTGGGATACATGCAAATGTCAGCACCGGTGTCCACCAGGAATTTCTGGCGTGTGATTCTGTCTGTGACAAATAGGAAACGTTGCGCTGTGTGGTCCTCAATCGTTGCCATACGTGGTTTCCTGGTTGATTTCCTATTGCCATCCGTAATAGTGGGATGTGGTGGTGTGCCTTGCCCTGGACCATTTGTTCTACTATTTTGGTTGGAACATCGTCGGTGTAGAAAACTGCGGGAATTTGAACGAGGTTGGGTCTTCAATTTCCCGTTATGCCTCATATTGTTCAATTCCATCCGGAGGGCATGTACTAGGTTGGTTAAGTTTTAGATGGTTTCCGAAGTGGGATTGGTCGTGGGGTTAGCTGCTGTCATGACTTGCGTATGGATTGCCTCCATGATGCAATCAGCTACCTCTGCTATTTCATCCAGACCCTTGTCCCGCATGGTTGCGAAGATGGCTTGAACATTAAGCGGGAGACGAGTTGACCAAATAGTTCACAGTAATTGTCCGACATAATGCTTCGGGTCAGACCGCGTAAATGGCGCAGAAATTGCGTGGGTTTCCTATCCCCTAAATTTCCTGGCTCGAGAAGTTGTTTCATTGGTTTCTTGAGAGATGCCCAACCGACGAATGAGTGGTGCCCTGATGGTGGCATATGGCTCAGTCGCCGGGGGGTTCACAATAATATCGCGCACTTCCGCCGCATAGCAAGGGTCCAAGTTGCCTAGCACATTCCCAAATTTCGTGGATTCGGACGTAACTCCGATAGCTTCAAAACTGTGGTTGACCATACAAAACCACAGTTCGGTGTCGGAGGGCAGGAAGGCTGGTAATTTAACGGCGATTCGGTCGAGAGACACGAAGGTCACGTTGTGGCTGGCCTGTACGACGTTTTCATTTTACATGCTGAGTGTCGTAGAGCAGGGCTGCGCAGGTAACCGAGAGGCATGGCCTAGAGGTCTAGACCATTGCTTAGCATTCGGGAGGACGCCTGTTCGATTCCGGGTCCATCTGCCTTGGTCCAAGTTTTTCTGTGGTTTCCTTGGATCACTTAGGCAAATACCGAGGCAGTAATATTCCACAGATAATCTTTCACTCTCTTCTGTCTTCATTTCGTCCGTCTCATCTCTCTCACCCGAACCACCATCCACCCATTCCCACGATTCCTGAAAGCAGGCTGAAGAGGGCCTTCCGCCTTACCTTCCGGCATAGTCCGGAGGGACTGCCCGCCCACCAGCATTACTGGCTGATGGGAATGAAACACCCAAAAGTTTGTTTTTTTTGCTCTGCAGAGTGACCCAATGTGATGGGAATGAGGACTGGCCAATGAAGAATATCTAATGAGCGAAACGGCGACTTGCATCGCAGATCATCTTCAGAAGATTCCGGCTGTGATCACCAATGTTCTTTAATCGGAGTCACCACTGTAGTCGTTAATGACTAGTGAAAATTATGGTTCTAATAAGAACCGGTTTTATAATAACGTTATATACTTCAGCACCTATGTTGAATTAACACTACTACAGCATCTGATGGTTGATGAAGAGTGAGCCGCGTGTTAGACTGATTGATTGAATTATTTACATCCTATTCATGCAAAATTTATTTACATGGTTCTCATGGGAATAGTTGGTTCAACAAATTACATTTGTGTATGTAAATGTCTCTGACATAGTTAGTCGCACTGTGTCGCGATTTTACTATGCTAGCACAAATGAATCACTTATAGTTTTTTAATTGTTACACTTTTGAATTATTATATGATATACCGAGTGTGTCCACGCAAACGTTGCTATTAACATTCAATTTCTACTTGCACCCGAAATAATTTTTCTTTTTTTTTTTTAACAGAACTAATGGATACACAATTATGATACTTACATATTTAAAATCCGCAAACTACGCACAATTTATTGGTAAAGTTTGAATTAGTGGATTATTTGTACCGGGTGCCAGATTTATACGATTGATAAATTATCATGCATCGATGGTATTTCATTTAACAATTATCTATTGTTCACATCATAAAATTGACGTTATCGTGCATCTATGATTATTTCCACATTATTATTTATTTATGTTATGATGTGACGCTTGTCACAATTTTATAATTTATAATTATATACGTTGTGTTACTTTAGTTGCTTTTTGGAGCTTTCTTTTAGGTGTGTTTCTTAACTAATAGTGTAACTAATCTTTTTTTTCCATTTCTGTAGATTGTCCAACAAATGAGAGTGAATTAAAGTTCAGTTTAGTCCTACTCAAACCACCATATCTACATGGGTGTTGTCTTCCGTTTTCGCCTTCCAACATTATGCAGTTACAGTTGTAACTTTCAACCGATGAGTGAGTGGAACTGGATATTTATTTGAATTCCACTGAACTAAGAAATTTTCTGCAATAGTATTCCTCCTGCTTTGCTTTTCACGCCTTTGGAATGTTACTGTCTACAGCTAATTAAGGTAAGAATACTTGATATAATAATTTTAATTGTTCATTTAAAACTTGTAAATCATAATTAACATTATTATTGAGGAATTGAAGTTGCAGTGGTACGGAGCCAATTTGAAAATAGTAATTATTTTCGATTGTATTTTGAATATCGAAATTGGAGTTTATGTAACAATTTCCGTAACGATTCCCGGCTCATCGATGGAATGGAAGAGTGGAATTCACATTTTTAAAATAAAATTAATGCACTGTTTGTCGGACAGCCTTTTCACCTTTTCGCCGTCATAGTCAACCACTATTTGTTTTCTTCCACGTAAATTTGTTTTTGACGCCTCAATTGTACCTGTACGTTTTCTTTTTTTCACGTGCAATTCTATAAATTGTCGAAGAAGACATGGTTTTACGTATAACTGATGTAATTCATTCTCAATTCGACTTTATTGTTGTTTTATGTGCTGATGGTGAACCGATCTTGATGATTTCTTTATTGGATAGGCTTTATTTCAAGGAAGAACGGAAACCTATTTTCTATTTTTTGTTATTTATTATTTTATTTCTAAAGTCTCATCTTTAAATATTAATTTATATTCCAGAACATCGGAATTCAATTTAGAATCATTATCTTTTTCATGTTTTCACTCTCTCTCGCTTTCGTATTCAGTTATTTTGAGAGTTCTGATCATCAAGCAAAAACGCACAATAATTCAATTCCGTAAAACGGGGATGAAACTAGTTACGCGAACCGTCGCAGAAATTTAATTTGAAGGTTCTGCGTAACATTTTGTACGTCATCGATGCTTCATGCAGTAGCTCTCGCAAATCCGTGGCAAGGTTGAAACGCGCTCGGTTCATTAGAAGTTCGTAGTTGGAAGATGTTTTGTTCGCGCCTTTTCAATTGAACTTGACGAACTAATTTTTTCGCAGAATTAATTTTATTTTTTCTGCGTGTAATACTCTGAAAGGCTATTGATATTGATTCATACTGTATTGTTATTTTTCGCAATGACCCACAGCATAAATTAAATCGACAAAATTGTTAAAGGTATGTTTTGAAGCAGACGGCCACGTCGCCATTTTAAAATTTTACCATTTTATTTGTTTTTGATTATGTTTTTGTTTTATTTCATGTTTCATTTATTTAATACGAGTGTTTAAATTCTTTTTTTGTTCATTTACCGCACATACGCTGACTTTTAATTTGAGTATCGGAAGAAAAGAGATAAGGATTAAGTATTTTAACTTTCCGCCTAAAAGATGTCCAGTTTGCTTATTATAATTATGATGAATGCTGTCATGAAAGAAAAGCTACGCCACATCGTCATTTTAAAAATAAAAGTTTTACTTGCTTTATTGTGTTTTTATTCCATTTCATTATTTATTTACCTCATACAATGTTTAATTTGTTATTTCTTTATTTTTACAGATTGAAGATAAACGATTGAGGTAGTAGATAGTCCAATTTTGATGCTGTTGAAAAACAAATCTTCTCCCTCCTATGATGTTTCATTTGTTAATTTTTCATCTTGGAGGCTCTTGTAGTTAATTAATTAAGGTAGGCATACATCCTGTATTATATATGTAGTATATTTATTTGATATTAACAGATAAAAAAATATATTATGCACGTTATTTACTAGGGAGGCTAAATTAATTATATCAGAACACTTTATCAATAAGATTTCATTTTAAAGGAACATTGGAAGAACTCCAGATGCCATTAAATTATGCCATTTTTCCGTTGGGAACAGGGACAGTGTGCTGTTGCCAAAGAAAGGATTTACGACAATGAACTGGTATGTAACAGTATAAATTAAAAATAGTAAATAACATAATTAATGTTAATTGCTGTTTTTAATCTGTAATGGCATGTCTTTTAACAGTTATCTATTGTTCACTGTATAAATTGACGTTATGACGTATGTATAGTATTGCTTTTAAGTATCTATTGTTCTCAGCATCTATGATATTTCGTTTAACATGTATCTATTGTTAAATTGACTTCGTCCATCTATGATCATTTCACATTTGTCTGTCAAACTTGACGCTTGTCGCCATTTTATGATTCTGCTGTTTTACTTGCGTTTTGATGCGTCCTTTTAAGTGTGTTAAATCGCTTCCTTAATTAATAGGGTGATTAATATACTTTTTGTCCATTTCTACAGGTATTCCAACAAATGAGAGAGAATAAAGTTCAGTTTGGTTGTACTGAAACAGCCAATGTCAACAAGGGCGTTGTCTTTCGTGGACTATATTCTTGGTTTGCTGATTTCGTCTTCGCCTTGCAACATTATGCAGTTAATTTTCAACCCATGAGTGAAAGCAACTGGATAGTTAATTGAACTCCACTGAAATAACATATTTTCTGCTACGGTATTCCTCCTGGAATTGGTTTGCTTTTCTCACTTGTAAACTTTGGAACGTTACGTTCTACAATTAATTAAGGTGAGAATACTTGATATAATTAATTTTAGTTGCTCTTTATTAATCTGTTATGGAATTTCTGTTAACAATTATCCATTGTCAACAGTATAAATTGAGTTTTTTGCGCATCTGTATCTCTTGACAGTTTATTTTCCACAGAGTAAATTGACATTTATCATTGATTTATGGATTTTCTTTTTAACCTTTTTCAATTATCTGGATCGTATTGACGTTGTGTTATTTGACATTTGTCTATGCCGTGATCGATGGTTGTGTTGTAAAATGGCGTGAAGATAACGCTTGTTATTTTATAATTCACTATTTTACTTGCTTTTTGGTGCGTTTTTATTTGTGTTTAATGTTTCTTATTTATAAGTGTAATTAACATGTCTTTTGTTCTTTTCTGTAGGTTATGCAAAAAATGAGAGAGAATTAATGTTCAGTTTGGTGATGCTGAAACAGCCAAGGTCTACATGGGTGTAGTCTTTCGTGGATTATATTCTTGATTTGCTGTTTCGTCTTCGCCTTGTAACATCATGCAGTTAATTTTCAACCCATGAGTGAGGGCAACTGGATATTTATTTGAATTCCACTGAAATAACAAATTCTCTGCTATAGTATTCCTCCTGAAGTTGGTTTACTTTTCACACCTGTAAACTTTGGAAGGTTACGTTCTATAATTAATTAAGGTGAGAATACTTGATATAATTAACTTTAATTGCCCTTTATTAATCTGTTTGCCATCGTATCTGTTTCAGATCGACGTTGGAGAAGACAAAGATGACCCCGTAGTTGAAATAGTTATTTGTCTTGCATGTTCTATCTAGTAGAATTCATTAAGTTTATTTTATTCAAATTAATTTTTTATTTGCATGCTTATTTTTGTTCATTTTTTTTGAAGTAATTGTTGTTTGTAGATGTTTTTATTTTTATTTTTTGTATGTAGTAGTAGTGTAGTAGTAGTAGTAGTAGTACTTACTAACACGTTTAGTAGTTGTAGTATAGTCTAAAATATCTCTTGCTTACCTCTTCGCTTAGCTTACTGCATATTCTTACTATAAATTGCTTTGCATTTACCCTACGAGTTCTACATGATTCAACGTTTCGTTATCGTGTGTGTTTCTTCTCACCCTTGTGGAATTAGGGAGGGCCTCCCC